AAACCCCATCTCTACTAAAAATACAAAAAATTAAGTGGGCTTGGTGGCAGGCGCCTGTAGTCCCAGCTACTCAGGAGGCTGAGGCAGGAGAATGGCGTGAACCTGGGAGGCAGAGCTTGCAGCGAGCTGAGATTGGGCCACTGCACTCTAGCCTGGGTGACAGAGGGAAACTCCGTCTCAAAAAAAAAAAAAAAAAAAAATCATTGGTCCAGTGGTCTTTAAACCATGATCCTCAATCCTAGATTCTTTGGGGACACATTCAAAAGACACTGCTGGATAGGGAAGAATGGGAAGGCCACCCACTTCAAACCAAGTAGTTCTGCCTTCATCTCCTCTACAGATGAGGCTTTCCATTTTCATATAAAGAAAAACCTTTCCTACAGCTTAAAAAAAAATAAAGTTTGCCAACTATTGATAGAGTCCAATGACCCAGGCAATTTCTGAATACCTTCTGCAGACATATTAACAATAAACATAGATAAACACAGAGACCTGTGTGGTTCCTAACATTGTGATGGTAATTTGTAACCACAGTAAAGTATGTTTAAGTAACTGTTAGTAGTGAAATGGTGTATACAAAAGACTTAACATTGTATATGAAATTAGAATTTTCTGAACATATTCTTCCTCTGGAGGCGGGGTGGGAGGGGACACAGGTAATACATTTCTTATTGGGTATGAAATCTGATGTCAGTAGAATTACTGAAAGCCTTTGTGAAGTGGTAATTTTAGGTGTGAATGTTGTGACAGCAGGTGGAGCTAGTAGTAGGAACTCTATTTCTAGGCTATTTAGAGAGCTAGGTGTATACAGCTTACATTAGTGTGTTTTCATTGTGGAGCTTCAGGAATAGCATGTTATTATGTATTGGCTTTGGAAAGTGATCATATTACTACAACATGAGAGCTGAGCTGAACAAAAAAATTCCTCTGTGGTTTTTAGAAAAGGGGCTTGTATTTGGATAAATGTTGCCTTGGAAGACTAAGACAATTAAGGGCATAGAAGGGAGGGGAAATGTTCACACGATATATGCTTGATGAGTTTAACCCCTAGAATATGGACTTTAGGAAATAAAGTATATGATTTTGTGGGAAAATAGTGTGAAAGAAATTGATTACACATATGGAGTAATTGGTGTTATTGGATGGCTTTTCCTTTTAAGTGGTAATAAGCATACAGTTTAAATCCACATACATTTTCTCCTAGTAAAAGCTAAAGAACATTTGTTTTTACCCTACAAAATTGTGAAATAAAGACCTGAATACTTCATAGCTCCAAATACTTGTGAGTTATCTGAATAAGTAATATAAAAGATATCACCACTCAGGTCCTTTTTTTTCCTTATGAATTACACAGTGAACTATGGAATTGTGCTTTTTTCCCTTTATCACTTCTCTAAGTCAAATGCAATGATAAGAGCAAATATTATGAATGTAGTTGTCTCTGGATTTTGTTTGGTTTTTACTATATCATATGTTTTAAGAAATGGGAGTTTCCGAAGTGACAGTTTATTTTGCTGGCTATGTGAATAGAAAGAGACCTACTTTTTGGCATTCATTTACAAAGTTATAAGATCATTTAAAACATGGGTCTTTTTGTTTTTTGTTTTTTTTCCTGTTTTGAGACAGTCTTGCTCTGTCATCCAGGCTGGAGTGCAGTGGCACGATTGCGGCTCGCCACAACCACCAACTCCTGGGTTCAGGCTATTCTTATGCCTCAGCCCCGCTCCGAGTAGCTGGGATTACAGGTGCATGCCGCCACACCTGGCTAATTTTTGTATTTTTAGTAGAGGCAGGTTTTGCCATGTTGGCCAGGCTGGTCTCAAACTCCTGACCTCAGGTGATTTGCCTGCCTCAGCCTCCCAAATTACTGGGATTACAGGTGTGAGCCACCGCACCTGGCTAATTTTTGTATTTTTAGTAGAGACAGATTTGCCATGTTGGCCATGCTGGTCTGGAACTCCTGACCTCAACCTCTCTGCCCACCTTTGCCTCCCAAAGTGTTGGGATTATAGGCATGAGCCACCACACCTGGTCTAAAACACACATTTTAAGCCTGGCATGGTGGCATATGCCTTTAGTTCCAGCTACTGGGGAGACTGAAGTGGAGGATAACTTGAGGCTAGGATTTTGAGGCTGCAGTGCGCTGTGGCCATGCCTGTGACTAGCCTCTGCACTCCAGCCTGGGCAACGGAGCGAGACCATGTCTCTAGGAAAAAAAAAAAACCCACACACATTTTAATGCTTTTTGCTAAAACTCTAAACAACATCTTCTTGTTTATTATTCATTGAACGTTACTTACTCAGCAAACATGTAATGAATGCCTACTGTCTGCTAGGCATTATGTTAAACGTGGGATAAAATTTTGAACACTATACACTGCTTTCCCTCAGCAGGTCTCAGGCAGACATGTGGCCAAATAATTACCATAGATCCTAATCACTTTTATGATTGCATGATGAACAGAGCGCTGTCGGGTCACAGAAAGAGGACTCAGCTGAGAGAAATCAGAGACACATTCAAATAGGAGATGAGGCCTGGGTTGCATCTGGAAGGAGATGTAAACATTCCCTAGGAGAAACAAGGAGAAAGTGCATTATTCCAGGCAGTGTGTTTTATACATGCAAAGGTGTGGAGTGTGAAAGGGCCTCTTGGCTTGGGGAAGCACCAGGAAGTTGACTAGGAAGTCTTGAGAGGTAGACTGGGGTACGTTTCTGAAGGGTCTCCAAGGACATGCCATTATCAGTAAATACATTATTCAAGAATTTCAGCTACTCTAGATGCTACTTAATTGACTAGATTTTGGTGTTTTTGAAGCTAAAGTTATGGATATGACCTGATGGGCACATGGCATGGCTAGACTTCAATTTTAACCTCAGCTAGCAATTTGGCATATGGTCTCTGTCACAGGGGTGATTAGATAAGAATGGAGCTGCATCAATATGTATCCCCACAACTACAGAAAAAAAATGCTACATATGCTAATTTGCTATAGTACATACGATTGAGCACCTGCCAGGCACTCTGGTATGTGAGGGAGATATGCCCTGTTGCCTAGAAGACAGCCAGCCACCTCCTGAACTTCTCCTCTTGGTTGTCTCCAGAGCGCTAAACACTTCACACAGCTGAATGGCAACTCCTCATCTTGCCCCAATTTTGCTCTTCTCCCAGACATTCTCCTCTCTTTAAGTAGCTCTTCAAGCCAGAATCTATGGGATATTCTTGACGTCTCCTTCTTTCTCACCCGCCACATCTAGTTCTTCATCAAGCTATGTTATTTAGATTCTAAAATATATCTGGAAACCTTCCACTCCTCTCATCCCCACTGCCAGCAACCCTGGCAACCACATCTCTTGCCAGTAGGCTCCTAACTGGTCTCTCTTTCTACATTTTTGCTCCCCCACCTCAGTCCCTTTATCAAGATAATGGCCAGAAAGATATTTCAAAACACATCATATAACTTCCCAATTCAAACCTTCTGTTGACTTCCTATTGCAGCTTAAATAAAACCCAAATTATTTACTGTGGTCCACAAGAGTCTGTGAGTTCTGGCCCCTGCTGCTCTCCCCAACCTCATCTTGTATCACTTCTCTCTGGCTCACTTTGTTCTAACCACAGCAGCCTGTTTTCATTTTCCCACCTTGCCACCCGACGGCCTCGGCACAGGCTGTTCCTACTGCCAGCAATGCTCTTCCTCCCAATACTAGGTCATTGGTATTGTCTCATGGTTTAGGTCTTGGCTTAAATATCTCCTCCCTGAAGGGATCTCTCCTTCACCAGAGTCTACTCTACATGAGGATTCCTGTGAATCTTTTTCACAACCTCCTGTCTTTCCCCTCATTGCCCATGCCACAGTTTGCATTGAGGTGTGTGTTTGAAAAATTGACTGCCTTCCCCACCAGATCAGTAGCTCCCTTGGGACTAGAATCACGTATATTCTCTTTTTCCCTCTATTTCCAAAGCTTAATACAGTGCCTGGCCCACAGTAGGTCCTAAAATGTTATAAAGGAATCATTGAAGAACAGAAAGACATTTTTTTTCCGTTTTAAATCTTTAAATATAAATAAAGATGTAGGAAATTAAGAAAATCATTTCTACATTTTTTAAAATGATTGGAACTATTTTACAAAAGGTATACAGCTTAGTATTACCTCACTAAAAGAAAAAAATGTGCATGTGGTTATTGTATGATTAGAGGCTATTTTTAAAACAGAGTGATAATGTTATTTTATGGAAATTTTGAGTTATAAAAATGAACCACTCTTTTTATATATGTAGAGCTCAGTTCACTAAAATGTTTAAATTCTTGGCTTTGCTCTTTAAACCTACTACAAAGATCACATTAGAATTCATTTTAATAGACATTGTAAGCACAGTATCCAATCTCATTTTATCATGCTGGGCTCTTTTATTATGAGAGTCGCAGGAAGCTGAGCCTGAGGCTGCTCCACACGTTGTGGGGTATATCCAGGGCTGGGGATGGTGCCAGCTCTATTGTTTATGTAATATTCTCTCCACCTTTATCTGTGGTGTGCAATTGGTATTGACTTTTAAGAAACTACTTCTCTGACCCGATCTCCCAGTTGGAAAAAAACCTGCCATAGTGACATCTGGCTAGGAAAAAAGGGATCAAAGAAGCATAAGGAAAGAAAAATTATGAGACCTTGTTTAATAAGTAGTTTCCTGCTTATTAGATCTGTTGCAGGGAAGAGTGTTACACTTTTTTCAAGGTCACCATTTCTTTACCCCTGGAAAAAGCTCAGTGAACCCTAAAAGTGTCTTGCATTTTCACTATTGATTTCTAGTGTTGGGTCTGTTAAATGTTAGCATTTAGCAAAATGCCTTTTTTGGTCTTTAGGAAACTTTACAGATCTTGAGTAAATACCACAATTAAGATAAAATTAGATTATTTGTGATAGTTATTACTGTTCATTTCTGTTTAATTTTTTCTTAAAGAGAAAGACAGTAACCTTTGACAAATTGTTCTTTCCCCAACTTTCAGGTATATTACTCGAGGGGTTTTTAAATATTGTCAGGAAAAAGAAGGAAGCTCAACGGTATCGGAATGAAGTAAGACACATCTTCACAGCCTTTGACACATACTGTAAGTGTCTCTAACGTGTTTTGATGTAAAAAAAAAAATTGCTATTAAGGGATTGCGAATAGGATTATATACCCAGTAAATCAAATATATAATATACTTGGAGGATTATATTACTGTATTCGTTAGATGTTACCTTAGGTATTGGTGCACATTTTTTTCTCCATCGTGATTTTAAATTCTTGACATTTACCGCGGATGAAGTGGTATTTACAGTTATATGGTTGTGTTAATATATTGTACCTTGATTGTCATGGGGACCGCAAAAGGACTGGCCATGGGGGATATAGGCCATGAGCCACCTATGGAGGTGTGGGAGACTGTGTGACTTCTTCATCAACTCTTGGTCTGACCTACATATGATTGATGGAATTGTTTTCCCACATAGGTTGTGGCTGAGAGGGGTGGGTGGCTGTAGACCCCCTAGGCCCCACAGATCATACACAGAGTGAAAAGACTCATGGCGTCTAGGTTCAATGTCTTGACTGCTGTTATGGTTTCCTTCTAAATATTAATATTTCATGATTCTAATACCAAGCAAAGGAAAAGACATGAATTTTGAAGACTGCCTTGTTTTGGTAACTCACAAAGACTCAAAGTCTAACACCACTGTTACAGTGCATGTCTCCGTATAGTGCTATCCCGGGGACTGAGAGAATCGGCAAAATGATAGGGCCAGAAGTGACCTTCAAGATCAGCTGGGACTGCACTGAAGGAAAGTATTATTAGAATCTCAAATTATTCCAATGAGACTATCTCAGATTACCTTATATGTGAAACCAACCATAAACTATTGCTTTTCTCCTAGTAATATGTTAAAGTAAGTTTTTCACAAATGTTATGGCTGAAGTAACAGTTGATAGGTCTTATCAAAGTAAGTGAATATTTTTTATTGTTTTCAAATAGATCGTGGATTTTTAACTTTGGAAGATTTCAAAAAAGCATTTAGGCAGGTGGCTCCCAAGTTACCAGAAAGGACTGTTCTTGAAGTATTCAGGTGAGGCATCAAAATCCTTCTGTACACCATCCTCTTTTGATTTACCATTTGCTTTTACATGTTTTTGATTTTATGGAAAGCACTTATTCATTCTCATTTTTCAGTCAGGAACATTTGTCTCTTGCAGCATAGTGTCATGATCCAGGAGGGAAATCTATAGTTAACTATGGGTCCTTCCACACCCGTGACAGTGGACTGTAAAGTCGGGGGAGCGCTTGCACACCAGGCAGGTGCATACAAGCATTTATGAGTAGCGGCAGGAGAGGAATAGGAAGAAAGAATAACTTCTTCAGATACTTACGTGTGACCCAAGGGAAAATGAAGCTTTAGTAATATTTAGCATGGATGCTGGTGTCCTCACATGGTCTGCATTTCAGATGAACACAGGTTACATGTGATTCTTGAGTTGTCTGGAGAGAACGGTTGGAGTTGCCTGATGGTAGCCCCCTCATTCCCTTGCTTTCAAAGCCACTGACACATGTTGCTGTTCACACATACCTGATAAAGTGGATTTAAAGATTATATTATGTGGTTCTTATGAACGAATCCTGACAAAATGGACAAGTGGCTTAAAAGCAGTTTCTGTTAGGAAACTGCAGATTGAAGGTAGTATTGATAGTGCAAACACATGCTGATGTGAGAACACAGCAGAGCTGTCTCTTCTCTGACTCCCAGCATGAGCTCTTCATCAACCCTGTTAACAGGTGTATTCATTAGCGTTCAGCACACTAATGAGAGCCGGAAAACCCAAAAGAACGGAAACTCAGAAAATACAGAAATTCATTTCTCTGTCATATAAACATCGGCAAACCAGGGATGAATGTTGACCATACAGTCGGGAAGGATCCAGATTGCCCGTTTTCTTGTTGCTCTGGCTGTATCAACACCTGGCTTCTCCCTCTTGCTCCAAGATGGTTGCTTAAGTTTCAGCAGTCAAATCTGAATTCCAGCTGGTTAGGAGAAAAAGAAAGCAGAAGGTATGCACTCCTTTTCAGGACATATATTTTTTCCACTTACAACCCAGTGACCAAAACTTAGTTCCAAGGTCATGCACAGCTGCAAGGGGGAAGAGTTTTGGAAAAGGTAGTCTTTGCTCTGGGCAATGATGTGCCCACGAATAGAGGTTTTGATACCAAGGAAGAGGGAGAGAGAATGGATATTGGGGGACATCTCGCAGATGTTCCCATTTGGGATAAAAGTAACTTAATGAAATACGACCAGAGCCAGCCCTTCTCAATAGAAATTATTAAATAAGTTATTTGAATGAAGATTTGCAGTCATTATCATTAACAGTGACATATATGAAATTCATTTGCTGTATCGTTGACAAGCAAGCTACTAAGCAAGCTATTGAAGAAGAGCAAAGAAGTTAAAGCCAGATGCATACAAAATGCTTATAGGAAAATATTACTTAGTTGATTTTGTAAAAGCAAATCCTTTAAAATGTAGCATCTTTGTATTTTGTGATGAGATAGGTAATGAATATCAGTATACTTCTACCATACAAAAGTTGTTTTTAACAAAGGAACTAAAAATTGATACTCATTTTCTTTTTACAAAAAGACAAGTTGTCCAAATTTGATGAACTTTTTGTGTTAAATGGTTTTAGTAGATACTACCTTATATAGATTTTTGAAAAATATATTTAAATGTAGCCATTCAGGCAATGTTTTAATGATGAATGAGAAAATAACACCTTCTTAGAAGAAAAGCTGTGCTATAGGGAGAACATTTTTGAAATAGATGTTTCAAAATGTTACTTTATTTTAAAACATAATGTATGTCACCTATTAAAATTCATATCTTCACGTTTGGTATGTTTAAAATGGAATGTCCTGGCCAGGCATGGTGGCTCATACCTGTAATCCCCGCACTTTGGGAGGCCAAGGTGGGTGGATCACTTGTAGGTCAGGAATTCGAGACCAGCCTGGCCAACATGGCGAAACCCCATCTGTACTAAAAAGACAAAAATTAGCTGGGTATGGTAGCACGTGCTGTAGTCCCAGCTACTCGGGAAGCTGAGGCAGGAGAATCACTTGAACCTGGGATGTGGAGGTTGCAGTGACCTGAGATCACACCACTGCACTCCAGCCTGGGTGACAGAGTGAGACTCCGTCTCAAAAAAAAAAAAAAATCTACAAAGTTGGTGATTTTAGCACACAATTATTAAAAACAGAAATTTGGCCTGGTGTGGTGGTTCAATCCTAGCACTTTAGGAGGCCAAAGCAGGAGGATTGCTTAAGGCCAAGAGTTCAAGACCAGCCTGGGCAACATAGACCCAATCTCTACACAAAATACAAAAATTAGCCAGGTGTGTTGGCATATACCTGTAGTCCTAGCTACTAGCTACTTGGGAGGCTGAGATGGGAAGATCTCTTGAGCCCAGAAGTTTGAGGCTGCAGTGAGCCATGGTTGCACCACTACACCCCAGCCTGGGCAACAGAGCAAGACCCTATCTCTTAAAAAAAATGTGTAGGCCGGGCGCGGTGGCTCAAGCCTGTAATCCCAGCACTTGGAGGCCGAGACGGGCGGATCTCGAGGTCAGGAGATCAAGACATCCTGGCTAACACGGTGAAACCCGTCTCTACTGAAAATACGAAAAACTAGCCGGGGTGGCGGCGCTGTAGTCCAGCTACACGGAGGCTGAGGCAGGAAATGGCGTGAACCCGGAGGCGGAGCTTGCAGTGAGCTGAGATCCATCACTGCACTCCAGCCTGGGCGCAGACGAGACTCCTCTCAAAAAAAAAAAATAAAAAAAAAATAAATAAATAAATAAATGTGTATATACATATATATATGTATTTGTCCATCTTTCCATGGGTTACAGTATATCTTGAAAATGTATTAAAGCTATTGAATTATATATAAAATTATATATATTGAATTATATATGTAACATATAATTATGATTGGAATTATATATATTAATGTATATAATTGTATATATGTAATATATAATTGATTATAGATATTTAAGTATATATAATATGTAATATATAATTATTTAATTATATATAATCTATAACTATTTAATTGCATTTAATATATATGCAATATATAATTATATAATTGATATAATTGTATATAATTTGTTATATATAATTATACATAAATATATAACTAATATATTAATAATTGTATATATGATTATATATGATTAACATATATAAACATATATAATTATATATATAATTCAATAGCGAGATATCAGGAAAGATGGACATTTACCAGCTGAATTTTAGTTGGCGTTAACAACAAAATAATAATTTTAGAAAATACAACAAATTTTCAAATTCCTAAACCTTTACATTATCAGAGGATGGAGTCAGTGGCATGATGACCTTTTCCCATTTTGATCTATGTATTTTCATGAGTTACCTGTACTATCCATTAAAACCAAGTATCAAAACAAATTGAATTTTAAATTGCTCACTTACAAAATATTAAGCCAAGATTTTCAGAAATAATAAAGTATATTAATGTACATTGTTCTAGTTAAGTATTATTAATAATTTCTAGTGACATCAGAAAGTGATTTTCCATTAATGAATAAAATATTTTTATCTTTAATTCTTTAGAAATTTCTATACTTTAACCATGTACATAGTATATTAATATAATAACACATGTGCTCCTCTATAAATAAGTATATTCATGTTGTGGAATATATGCCCACAAATCTTGTACTTCCTAGGGTTGTGAGACCAAAACAGTTTGGAAACTGCAACATACAGCCAAAGAAGATACTTTGTTGATTGAATATGGGCTTTTTAAACTCTCAATTGTATTTTTATAATATCACAATCCCAAAATTAGACTAAATAATGAATAACACGATCAGGCACGGTGGCTCGTGCCTGTAATCCCAGCACTTTGGGAGGCCGAGGCGGGCAGATCAACTGAGGTCAGGAGTTCGAGACCAGCCTGGCCAACATGGCGAAACTCCATCTGTACTAAAAAGTACAAGAATTAGCCGGGTGTGGTGGTGGGCATCTGTAATTCCAGCTACTCAGGAGGCTGAGGCAGTAGAATCGCTTGAACCCAGGAGGTGGAGGTTGCAGTGAGCCGAGATCACGTCACTGCACTTCAGCCTGGGCAACAAGAGCGAGACTCCGTCTCAAAAAAAAAAAAAAAAGAATAACACGTATTAAAGGAAGTTGTGAACTCGAAAAATATTTCCTGTTTGTGTAAATTGAAGTAGGCCAAAGAAACAGAGATGTCTAACATATCACACATATCCTTATTTCAGTCATGCAAACAATTTTCAATAATAAAAAAAAGCAACTGCTGAGGCTGTTAGCGATGCAAAATTATTTAATGTTTCCAAGGTTAGACGTTCACTTTTTGAGATGCTTGAGTAGCTTTTCACTTAATTAACCAGCATGTATGGGTTTCGTTACCCAGGTCCACAATTCACTACACAGGTCCAGAAAAAAAGCTGATCTCTGAAAAGCACTAGAAGAAGGCAGCTAGAGAGGGAGAATTCTAATTAGGCCGGGGTCCTCTGTGGCTTGAATGACTGAAGAAGTTTTTATAGTCTTCAATTCAGTGACTGCCAGATTCTTCCCAAAGAAATTTCTAGAGATCAAGAGTAGGCTCTTTCGAAAGTACTTGCCCGCATTACGCTTTAATTTTACAAACCAAAGAACAGCAGTTCAACCCACCAAACAACAAAAACAATCCAAAGAAAGAGATTTGGACATAGGCATCAAGGAATCATTTCACTTTATAATTTAATAGAAACACTGGTGCATCATTCATTAATTTGGAAAGTGAGAACTAAATGTAACATAATTTTGTAAGGTTTGTGAATTGTTGCCTAGGTATTCTGGTGATGTTTACTTTAGTGATTTAATCATTAATGAAAGCAATGTGGTTTTTTAGAAAACATATTATTAGGGTTCATAACATTCACATTTTGTTGTGCAATCATAATCTCCTGTTTTGATTTAGTCGTAGCTCTACAGTTGAATGAATTCAAAGCTCACCTCCAGGCCTTT